TGGGTGCCTTTATGCTGAAATTTAGAGGTGGAAGAGAAGTCCTAAAGGCAACTTCATTATTCTGCTCACTTTAAACTGTTTTGTTCTTCCCACAGCTTTTGGTAGAAATTCCATGTGCAGCTTTGCTTGCATGACTAAAACTGGCTAACTGACGCCCATGTAACTCCAACTGCAAAAAAACCAAGGGCATGCCCAACTCCCTTCTGATTCTCCCCCTTGTGCTTACGCAACGTATTTTTGCAGGCAGATTCTTTGTCGTTGCAGGGATCATTGCTTTGCCTTCAGCTGATCACAAATTAACATCCCTTACAATAACATGTCTCCTTAATTAGAAGCAGTTTCCTATATGAGCATGACACACTGCATTCTTGATGCAGTGTGCATCAGGCAGCATTTGAACATCTACAACAGTAGTTAGTACTTTAATTATGGATTTGAATGAAACCGTGATGGCGATAGCTATGTTGTCTTTACAGTGGAGGGATTTGAAAAGTTGTCATGTTTTTTCCATGCTGTTTCTTGAACTACTGGGGGAAGGATGGGGATTCCAGGTCTTTTAGACTTGACCATCAGTCTTCTACAATAAAGCGGAAGGTTAGTAAGGACACCTGAAACTAAATTCTTGTACTTAACACCTTTTGGCTGTTGTGTTTGGCAATCTCTAGATGCTGCAAAGTACGGTGAAAACCCCTCTTTTGGCAGTAATGAACAAAAAGTCATCCTGTATTTAACTAGTTGCTGTGTATAACCTTTGTGCTCCCTTCGTGAATCTAAATGGTTTACAGTAGGAGTGAGATCTGCCTTGCTTGGTCTTACTTTGTGCTTTCTGATCTAATTCCAGCAAAACAGAGTTCTTAAACTTTCAGCTAGTGGAGCTGATCAGTTTAAGTTCCCAACCCAGGTCTTCATGACCAAGAATGACATTTATTTGTAGAATAAGAGCCGTGAGTTCTTCTTTTTCCTTCCGCAGGACAAGCAGGAGGACTTAAAGAAGACTATTTTGGAGGGCATAGAGACGGGCAAGCATCAGGTGAGGTTGACCTTTGATGCTTGTAAGCTGCAACCTCAGGATACATGCTAATGACAAGCGTGGCTTTAATGCATCTACAGTTCTTCAAAAATACAGAGACTTGCTGTGTAGATTCAAAATGTCTTCCTTGTGCTGCTTTTTGCCTTCTGCTGGGTTTTTAAAAGCCCTATTTAAAAAACAAACCAAAACAAAAACTCATCCTTCACAAATTCAACAGGATATCTCACTGAGCTTATTCTCACAAGTAACTTGGTTAAACTTGTTAGTACACCTCTACCTTCCTATAATGTCTCCTTTTTTCAGATAATTACCTTAAACCAGAGGTCTAGATGCCTCTGAAATACTGGTGTGCTTTGTACCTCAGGAGAGTCGTCTGGGACAATTAGGTTGGTGATTGCTAGAATACTGCATCTTTTGATAGTAGTTTAATCTTGAGAACTAGGAAAGTGACACAGTATTAAGAACAGATTTATCTGTTTGGCTGTTGTCTTGCATCAAAAATTTCCTGAAAATTGTTTTGCTTAGAATAGAAAATTCAAGATTTCAGTTAAGTGAAACTGAGGAACTGAGCACTATCATGGACCAGAGAGGCCTGTTAAATAAGAGTTCAAGAGAAGTGTTGGACCTTTACTTTGAAACTGCAAGTTTTGTTCTGAAATTCTTAACTACACAGATGGCACTGGAAACAAACACAAGAAAAATAGCCCAACGAATAACACTTGTGAAACATTAGCACGCTTTTTTTGACCTCTAAAAGAGAATAGTGTAAAAAACAAACAAACAAAACCTTATAGCATGGCTAATATTGGAAGGACTTGGAATCAAGCTTTAAAAAAAGGAAGTTATCAGTGATCGTTCAAGGTACTTCTGATGAAATTGCTTTTGCTCTACTTTCTGAGGTACAGATTTGCCTTAGAGGGAAGTAATTACTGCTCACTGGACTCTCATCTCCCTTTTGAGTCTCAGTGAAAAAGGTGCAGACAGTGTAAACTCTTACCTGAGTTGGGGAATTTTCCCATTTGTCCCTTTCTTCCTATCTGGTACTCAAGTTTACACCTAATTCTTCTCAAGCATTCTTTCTATCCAGACAGAATTAGCAGGAGAGCAGATTACTCAAGTGCTTACAGAATGGCTTTTCTAGTCAAAGCTGGTAGAGGTGTTTTCCTTCATACCCCTTTCTGATCATATTGAATACAGTATTTCTCGGGATTGGGAGAGTGAAGAGGTAACATAAGACGTTGTGGTGAGTCCCAAAGTGCAGATAATGGAGCAGGGGAGATTGTGTCTTTGGAGAAGAGTACTCTTTGCTAGTTCTTGCTGTGATTATAAAATGAGTACTTGCATTTACTTTCTGTTAATATAAGAAAGAAGTGTATTGCAAAACTGGGGATGCTGTTGGACAACATTCATGTTCTTTGTCCCCATTTTGATCAAGTATCTGCTGTAGCTTCAAAAAAAAAAATCTTAGAAACTTTTGGCTATTTCATGTTAAAAGAAGGTTGTGAGTAGGCAAAGACATCGGACTGCCTTAACTTCTTATTTTGATTTATTCCAGGTATTAGAGCTTACGTTGATGCTGACTGTTAGCCTCTAAGAGGGCTACACAGAGAGCTACAGAGAGCTGAAGTCACACAATTAATTTCACTTTAAAATAAAGCGTAACGTTTCTGCATCTTCTGATGTGAAAAACACTGTCAAAATAGGATAACTTTTGAAGGTCTACAGCAGGTAGCATGCACGTGGTTTAGGTTGGTTGGACTGATAGATGTGAGTGGTACTGCAAGTATTTGAAGTGTTTACATGTTGAGGATCAGGTTTTGCCAGCTTGATGAAGTGACAGTTTATCAAGCTGGGTAGGTTAATTGCATTATGATTAAATAAGGAAACTTTGTGACATCCATATTTAGATTTTTGACAGTGAGATCTCTTTAGAATGGAGAATTTTGTTGCAGATAGTGGTACCTTGCTCTGCTAGTCATCTGAAATACTACATCTGTATGTAATATAGAATGATCTTTCGTTATCTTGAACACAGCTAAGGTGGACTAAAATAAATTATGCTCTTTGGTATTTTTGCTGCTGTTTTAGTAGGGATTTTGATGAAACGTGCTAGAAATTGTTTAGGCAGCAGTGTTCTGGTCCTGCTCAGTTAGTGAAATGTTGTTTAATAGTTCTTTGCATCTGTAGCTGCTTTGTTTGTCTGCAGTACTGGGATTTTTACTGTGTATAAGGCTAGCAGCAGCACCTAGCTTTTTCTGTTCTATTGGCAGTAGCTGAGAAAGGAAAAGTTGTGCCAAGTACCAGAATAGGCGTCGGAGCTCAGGGGTATGCTACGAATTCTTGCACATCAAAAGACCGTATACTAAAACAATTATTTTGTCATGTCCTACAAATATTCGTGACATACAGACAATTCAAAAGCATGCATATATTTATCGATAGCTAAGCAGTCATTCACCCTGGTAGTGGAATGTAATTGTTCCAAAAGAATCAGCTGACTTCAGCAGTAAGTCTGTAATGTTTCTTATCTGACTGCATGCAATTGTGCATATATTAATGGTTTTTTCTTTTCCTCTATCAAGCAAGCTAAGGAATCGGAGCACCAACATGGAGTTTAAAACTGTATATTAAAGTGTACAGTAATACAATATCCTTACTAAGGGACGGGAGCAGAGTGCTTCTGGCCTTTGCCAAGTGTGTAGGAGAGTGTTAGTGTTACCTCCATCATGGCAAAGGATTGATTTGTGGTGCTGATTTTCTCTACAGGGTCAGTCTCCAATACAGCCAGAGATTCCCCCCTCAACTGTATGAACAGAGGGCTAAATTAGGGTGCAGCATTTCAAAGGATGAATGCAAAGTTTTCAGGAATCCTGAAATGTATAGGAAGGAGTTAATTTATTCTGTCAAGTCTGTTCTTGTCCTCTGCATTTGTAAATAGCAATATCATCCTCTGTCAGTACTAAATGTTAATTTTAACTGTCATATATACATGTGATTACAGAATTAAATAGTGAATTTAGAGCTTGGCTTCCCAGGTATTTAATTTTAAAAAAAAAAAAAAAAAAAAAAAAAAAAAAAAAAAAAAAACAGTCCTAATGCATTATTCATCAGACTGAATTTGAGGCGTGCAAATTTGAACACTCCCAAGAAGCTTATATTCTCTCTTTTTTTTTTGCAGTGGGAGGGTTGATATATATTAGCATTCTTTGGGATATCAATCATGTCTGCATAACAGGCAGATTTTCTTCCTCTATAACGTTTTTAAAACAGTGGTATCCAACCACATCTCTCCAATTTTCAGAATTCTTTTTAATTATGAAATCTTTCCTGTCATTCGTTCCTTTCTTTATCTGCTTGTAACATCACCAAAGCTCCAATCCTCCTCCTGTCGTAACACTTTTTTCTCCAGTTCTTTCCTTCAGAGATTTTTTTGACGTGCAGTGAAGGATATGTAGACAACTAAAAAAGCACCAGAAATGATTGTCTCATGTTTATTCGTGATCCTCATCTTTTAAAAATAGTTATATTTTATACATTCAGACCTTATGTCTGTTTCAAAGGTCTGGCATGCAGCATAGGACAATTCTGAGAACTGTCACCCTGACACATCAGTTACTTGTATAATTTATGACACTGGATGGTATTTGCATTAAGTACAAAAAGTCCCTTTTTTCAGGAGGAAATGAGATGTTACCAATCTCTAGTTTCGTACGCGTTTGAACACTAGAATAAAAAGGGACATAGAAATCAGGAAAATTCCTTGTGTAGCTAACAGTATGGATGCGGTCTTAATGGTTTTTGACAGCGTGCTTCAGTATTTAAGCTACCATGAAAATGAATCTCAGTGAGTTTCCAGATAGAGCTGCTATTGAGACTGAAATTTTGGCCCCATCAGCAGATGTTTCAACAGCTGAAACTATGGTTTAATTTTTCTCACTTGTGCAACATCTGTTTTTCTCCTTTATGATAGGAGCATGAATCTGAAGGTGGGAGGACCCCACTAATGAAGGCTGCGAGAGCTGGTCATTTATGCACTGTGCAATTCCTTATTAGCAAAGGTAAAATAGTAATTTCAACTTGAAATGCCACTGAACAGTTCTGAATGTTTGTGATCTTTTTTCTAAATTAATTTTGTGTGTCCGTATATGGGCCTTTGTCAAACTATTGTATTTTTTTTGAATTTCAGTTAGTTTATGATACATGGACAATGGATCACAAAAGATTTTGCCTGTTGGGTTTTTTTTGCTCCATTATATAGATTAATAAATGATTTTGCAGTATGGCACATATATTCAAATTTCTTTATTAAAAAACAAACAAGCCAGCAAAAAACCCTCGTATGCTGTCTGAAACAATAAAATATATGTCATATCTTGACACTGATTACTACTTAAGACAAAAATGTAAAAGTTGTCCTTTGGATATCCTCTGTCTTACCACTTATGCAGCCCACTGTTACTGTATCTTTACTTCATTGTCTTTACAAGATGACTGGGAGTCTGTATACAAACCATTAGTTTTGCTTTCACCCCAGTAACATGTTACCAATGAGGATAACCAGAAGAGAGAATTTTATCTTTGTTCCAGAAAATACCATGTTTGTTGATACTTGAATTTCCTCATGTTTAATTCTGTAATGAGATGTTCCTTTTATAGGTGCCAACGTTAATAGGGCTACAGCTAATAATGACCACACGGTGGTGTCACTGGCATGTGCAGGAGGCCACCTGGCAGTTGTTGAGCTTCTTCTGGCTCATGGTGCAGATCCTACTCATCGGCTGAAGGTATTCACTTATTTCACTTGTTTATTTATCATACTTATTACCAGTACCTAAAGAACCACATAGTGGATTTGTATCCATTGGTTGGTAAATGTGCAATTTTAAATGGACTAATTCGTGTTTTACGTGGTGCCACAGATTTCACCTTATGGCTTTTATTTCCAAAATCTCACTTCAGGATGGCTCAACAATGCTCATTGAAGCTGCAAAAGGAGGACATACAAACGTTGTTTCTTACTTGCTGGATTACCCAAATAATGTTTTGTCAGTTCCTGCAGCAGACTTGTCTCAGCTCACTCCACCGTCTCAGGATCAGACTCAGGTAAGGCATAAGGAATTTTTTTTAATGTCATAATGAAACACTTCCCTTGTCGTTAACTTCTCAAGCTACTTTAGATGCAGACAAATACAGTGGAAAGAAAAGGTCAAAGCTTTGTATTTAGAAACGGTAGAGAGTGGAGACAGTTGATTGGTGTTTTTCTTCAGTGTCCTGAAAAGTGCATAAACCTTTTTGTTACATTTTCTGCTCCTTAAACAGGATAGTCCCAAACCTAGTATGTCAAAAGAATTTATTTTCTTGATTACATTTGCTCAGGATTTTGTTTCAACAATTCTAAAGCCTTGTGACAGCACCTCTCAAATGTCATTATTGGATTCTGGTTGTTATATGAAAAAAAAAAAAATATTGCATAAACTTGCAATTCTCCACGTGGTCTGAGAAGTAGACTTCTAATGGAGTTAGTTGATTAAAAGCCTAAAGGTGTTAACAATGTTATAGCCTAAACAGTCCAGGATTTTTGAACAGATTACAGATTTGAAAACCGATGTGACATGGGGTTCTGTCCAATACTACCTGCAAAATAAGTTTGGTGGTAGACAAGGAGTTACTTTGACACGTTACCCACTATAAAAGGCATGGAACAGGTTATACTGAGAGACAGCATAGCATACACGGTTTGGGGAAGAGTGGAGTGGAGGTTTGGGGAAGAGTGGAGTGGAGGTCTGCTGTAGAAAAGTATGTTTTATTAACACCTCAAGGTTGGTCCCATTCAAGAAGTTTTTATCTGAATATGTGTCTGTGGCTTTATTCTAAGGTTCCTCGTGTACCAGTGCATACGCTTGCTATGGTTGTACCTCCCCAGGAACCTGACAGAACCCCTCAAGAGAACTCGCCACCTCTCTTGGGAGTGGTGAAAGGTTAGTATGTAGCCACCTGGAGAATATATGCAATTTGGAAACTTCCAGGCTGGGGAAAATTTTATGAGCCCTTATGCATAGTAAAGTTCCCTCCAATTCTTAAACACCTGTAAGGAAGGTATAACTTAAATATAAACTTATTTTACGTAGTGTGTAGTTTTTGCTTATTTTTTCGTATATTACACTATAATAACACTGGTTACTGATGATGCTTATTCTAACTTTTTGGAAGAAAAAGGTTGTGGTAACTGCCATAGCCCAGATGGATCAAAACATTAGTAAACTCTAGGTGTGGTGTTAATTTTTAGATGTTGTAAATTGATCATCTAGAATAGTTGCAGCTCTTATCCATGAACTTGGATCAACTTCTTTTCTAAAATAACAACACTAGCATGTTGGCATTATAGAATCTCAAAGTTGGTCTACTCAGAGGAGAATTTATTTTGTATTGGCAATAGTACTCTTGTAAGTAATAGTCACATCAGAGTTTTTGCTTTGAACACAGCTACGCTGACTGGTTAAAAATGTTTTCAGTCGTTAAATGGCAAAATTGGCAGTTCATTACCAGCCATGTATTCTGTACTGAATTCTTCACTTCTGATAAGCAAACTCAGAGAGAGAAGCAGATTCTCTAGTGGAAAATTTAAAAACTGCAACTGTTAATGACTTACTGCTTTGGATTTTGTGTTTGCTTTTCTTTTCTTTTCTTTTCTTTTTTCCCCCTCCTTTTTTTAATTGGAGAAATTAAATACTGTAGTATCCAAAGTTCTATTAAATAGCTTTACTTAATTCCGGAAGTGCCCAGTGTTTCCTAAAACAAACAAGCAAAAAAACCTCTGGGGCACAAATGAAAACAAAAATTGTGTACCTGATGGTGTTTAAGTGTGCATCCTTGACTCTTTTTATACATATATGCTATGTATTGATAATTGATGTGCAGTTGTTCTTTTGCCAATATAGTTACTGTACAGTTTTCCTAGAACTTAATATGCATAGAACATTTTACTATTTTGGAGTCTATAAAAAATGAATATGCAATTTCTGATTCTAATGGAACAGGAAGAAGTCTATACCAGCATGTGTGCCCTTACAATTAAATAACTATTGGTGACACTAGGCAGGATAGTCTTCTGGAAATATATTTTATGATGCATGGGAATCAGTGAAAGATTAGTTGATACTGAGTCAGAAGACTAAAATATGAGCTTGAAGTCTGGCAATATTTAATCAAATCATAAAATGCAGATAATTGATGTAGTTTAAGAAAGAGATTCCATCAAAAACTTGTAATAAATGTCAGTACATATTTTAGGCATCTGTTTAGCTGTAGTATGTTGATGGAACTCGCATTGAGAGTTTTAGTTCTCAGTGTTTCAGGACATACTTCATGTGTGTTGGCAAAGATTAATCTGTGATGTATTGGAAGAGACATAGCAATCTGAAGCGTGCCATTGGACTAATGAAGCATTACCGCAGACCTTGTGCGTAAAACTTTCATGCATCTGAAGTCTTTAGGGGAAAAAGATATTTTGTGTTAAATGCTGTGTGATTATTGTAATTATACCACTCTGATACTTTAACTGTGGTAGAATAAGAGTTCTTTGCTAAGCTTCCATTCTTAACTTCTGATACATACATGGCTTAAATATACCAGACTTTCACTGTTAGACTTCTTGGGAGACGAGGGTTAAAAGAGGGTGCAAATAGACATATTTTTATTATTTCCTTGGGAAAAAAATGTAGTGTTAAGTTGTTATGTTACAAAATTGCTTATCCTGTGGGAAACAAATTTCTTACCTTCAGAATTAGACTTGGGTCTCTAAGTTCCTGCATAAACTCTTAGCTACTTAGGGAATGGAGAGGGACACCCAGCCTTTTAAACCTCAGCTTAGTATGTTTTATAGTATCCATATTAGTTTTGCAAGAAGTGTAATAGCAACAATTTGTTTCCTAAATAATTCTTGGCAGGTCAGGTGTAGAACTAGTGTTCACTATGTTATCATTAGTGTTCAAATATATTGTGAGCTTTTCAAAAAAGTATTTACGGTTTTATTTTGAATGGCATCATCATCCTTCAATAGATCAAGAAAGCTTATGGAATAGTTGCTATTTGAACAATTGTTTTGGCAAATAATTTAATATCAATATTGAGCAGCAAGGGAAAAGAAAAGCCCTTCAGAGCTGACAGTGGATCTAGAGACATTCAGATAAACATGCTATGCAGAGATGGTAACCTCATAGGAAGGTAATCAAATGAAAGGAAAAAGGAGAATTGACCCTAGAAGTGATTACATGAAGTGTACCTGAGCACTTGAGCCCTAGGGCAAGTGGCTCTCCATGCTGCCCTGTCATGAGTGTTACCTCTAGGTATAGTCAGGTCCCCAGCCTGCACACAAATGCATGAACACATTCTGAGCATGTTCCCCACCCTACCCCTTTGTTTTTTTCTTTCTTTTTTTTTTAAGCTGTGGCACTGAGCAGATAGATGTCTTGCAAGGCAAAATGAAGCGGAGTGGGTGACTGAAGAGCTGTTTATAAACTGTTTCTCCTGACACAGTCTGAATCCAGCCAGTGTAATTCTTTCCTTATTAAGACAGAGTGCTCTTCTCACTCACTCCCTCGCAAATATGCTGGGATGTTAAGGATTTGCCCATACTAAATTTACACAGGCTGCATGAGCTGTGAGTCCTAGTGAGTATAAGCTGTGAATATCATCAGACGCTCTTTGTAATTTTAAGTGTACCTTTAAGGGCTGTTTTCATGGTGCCCTGCAAATTGTGGGCCATTTCCAGCATATGAAATGGTCATAAGAAATGTTATTAGGTGTCTTCAAGAAATCACTCTGTACAGAGAATGCCATTTGAAATATTGTTGCCATTGATAAAATTGTATAGCTTGTAAATGCAAGTAAACGTTTAAGAATGGGTTCTAAGCTCTCAGTGGTTATTCATGACTCTGCAGTGTGCTTGGGCTTTCACAGAGCACCCTTGGCAAGCTCTGTGGTGCGTACCCGCAGTACAGCTTTAGAACACGATTGAAAAACAACGCACTTGTGCAAAAAGGGAATGCTTAGGAAGTCTGTGGAATGCAGCAGTGGTTTTTTTCTTCGTCAAATTGTTTGAATTCATGGGAAGTATTTTTAAACATGTCAAAATTTAAAATAGTCTGTTTTTTGGAGAGTGGAATGTGAGCTTTTTGTAAGCTTTTTCCAAACACGTTTCACTTCTTCACTAATTTGCAATTGTGCATACAGACAAACTAATTAGCAAACTTAATTGAGTGCTTCAGACTTACCAGTGCGCTGTCATTAGACTTCGCTGTTGTTTTTTAGTGGGCAGTAACTTGCAGTCTGTCTTATTTGGGGAGCTTGTTCTTAGAATGAACTGAATGGATTTAACGTTTTTCACAAAAAAACTGTCCATATCTGCCCTTGGGCCCTGAGTGGAAGACAAGGATCCACTTAAAGCTGAGAGAAGTTTTTAAGAATGTTTTAAGCTTTCGTGTACAGCAGTGCCAGTGAGTATCCCCCATATCCCCATGCTAAATTTTACTTTACAACCTAATGGCTTGAAGAAAATACCACATAGCTTCAATAGCTACAAACTCCATGAACATCTCTAAATCTGACTTTTTTTGCCTAAAAGTTATATTGGAATATATTCTGACAGAGCTATCTTGCACGTTGTGGAGCGTGCGTGAAGTAGGGGGTCAGATTAACAATAGGATTAGAAAGATGATGCTGATTTTGTAGAGTGGAAGAATGAAAAAGCAGCTAACATTCTGGTTTATTAGACTTTTCATTTTGACCCCGTTCAGGCTTCTCTAGTGCACAGTCCAACTGTCTGTTCACTGTTCCTTATGGTTCAACATCTTTCAATATACTCTTGCCATTTCTGTATTTTCTGCATGGGTCAGCGCTTGACCCAGTTATCGTAGATGAGTTACCAAGCAAAGCGCAACTTCCTGTGGTCGGTCTCATGCAGGATCCTAAATTAAATTTTCATTCTTCTCTGATTTTAATGTAAGATTATAAATTCTACTTGAGATTTTGCACTCTGCCCTTTCTGATTTTCTACCAGATCCCAAGCGTAGTATATCAATAAAGGTGGATAATTCCAGATAATATTTTGTACCTCGAGGAAAAACAGTCCATGCCTCTTGGCTTTCTAACTTCACTCATACTTTCTTAGCAGACTTATATTCTTGTTTTTCTTTTATGTGAATCTTTAGCAGTGCAAGCGGATTATTTAAACCAGATACATGTGTATGCCCCCAAGAGCATAAGTGTAATAAAAACATTTTCACAGTGGTTTGCGAAATTCTGTTCCTCTGAAGGTCTAATCTACTAACCAATTGCATCTGAGTGAGTTCCCAATTAGATTCCATTAAGCTACTAGAAGAAACTCGGGTAGAAGATTAAAATTTGAAAGTAACTAAAGTTTTTTTTTTTTTTGAATGTCAGAAAACTGAGTGAGTTGATTACACTGTGGGGCTTTTCTCTTCAACCACTTAGCATTTGGCTCTTGGATGTCATTGCACCTATTCCTGGCAAGTAGCCTATAAAAGCAGCTGTGGAAGCAATAAACATAGGCAAAATACTACATGGTTCACAAGAGGAACATAGTTGAATATAAACTCATCTAAACATGCCCTCCATGAATCATCTTGTTCATAAAGGAGAATTAGAACTTGTCAAAAACAGTGGTGCAGCTGCAATTTTCTAGAAAATGTTGTAGGTTATTCATTGTCCAGTTAGCCAAATTTTGTAATATTTTGCATGTATGTATGTGGATTGACTGGTTGTTTCCCCAGCTTCTCAAATATGTTTTTTCTTTTTTTTTTTTTTTACTGATATGAATTATAGAATTAAATATGGAATTTTCACAAAAATTCAATATTGAGCTCACCCTACCCCTGTTGGAGCTGGTGAGTTTTAATTGCAGCCTGCAAATCAAATCCTAAACTTCAGGTATCTTATTTCTTGAACAAATCTGATTTCACTCTGAAGTGTAAGAATGATAGCAGACAGGCTTTTCTTTGAAATGCTTTACTATGGATTTATGCTTCCTGACATCTGCCTTGTGTGAAGGGAGGAACAGATTGTTTTTGAAATTCTAGGTGAGATATTAATTATGACATGGTGATTCATACAGATTTGGATACTATTTGGAAATGTATTTGAAATGCAAATGTGTATCCCACAGTTGAGATTTTCTTGTTGTCAATTTGTATGCCAAAAAACTTGATTTGGACCCTTTTTTTTTTTTTTGGTCAACAGCTCTTGAAATTAAGGAGCTGACTGTCAACAAGTGTCAGAATTTCATCTAATGCCAAATAAAACTGTTGCCGGTAGTGGCCAAGATGAAAACTACTAAGCTGAAGTGCAATTGCATTGATAGAAATCACCTGACAATTATAATGGCTGGAAAAATGAATCTTCAGTCTTCTGAAGTGACCTTAAAAATAAATTAGCGATTGTTTTTAACTGTAATTGCTTACTGAGAAACACTTGGTCAGCAAGAATGTTGTCTTCTTGCTAATTTATCTCTCAGGTACTTTTTAGGGTAAGACATGAATTAGACTTTATTTACATTAAAAAAAAATCAAAAAACTATGTATCTACTTCCTGCTTGTCAAAACTTTTTTGGAGTAAATACCTCTGTCCTCAGACTTGCAGAGGACAGTAGAAGTGCCTCCTTGCATGATTACTGTGATGTATGGGCCATCATTTGGATATTGGCGAATATAAGTGGTACATCTAATAGCAATATCATTAAAAGTTGATAAGCTGGTATGAACTAGGTATATTTTGGACGGTTTGCATCTCACTGGTGCTACTCTATTCATTGTGCAAGGTCATATAAATTGTATTCTTCTTGGGAAAACAAGATGTCCTTTAGATTAGAAGTCGGGACTAGAAGAGCAAGTTCCTAGAGAGTCTTAAGCACTAGGAAGAAAGATGGTATCAGACTGTAACCCTAAGGATGAAAGATGGTATCAGAGAGCCTATAAAGACTGAACATGTTTTATGCAAACCTAAATTAGAAGAGTTGAATAGCTTGCAGCTATTTGCAGACTGGAAACAGCAAGGTTATTTTTGCAGATTCTTGTTTACAGGCAGTGCAGTGTCTAAGATCTCTAGATGTTACTTGCAGCCGGAAGACATAATGGTGTTTTCCACTGCATTTTACTCAGTGCTGAAGGAATTAATAATGATTTTTGGGGGCTGCTGATCTGGATGAATGGAAACCAATATAGGTGTATATAAACCAATTTAGGTATTGATGAGACTGTCTGCAATGTGCTGGAAGAGTACGATAGGTGTACATGGGACACTTTTACCTCACACTTCCTATGAGTGAATAAGAATTCAAGGGAAATGACGGGAAGCTGCATTGGTCCAGAGTACGTCTTATTCAGAGCGCGTTTTATCCAGAGTAGTGTGTGTGTTGGTCAAAAAAATGACTTGCCTGTGAAAAGAAGTGGAGGGTGTAGGGAAGGAGCTAAACAGAGACTCTCTGCTTAGCGTGGGATTGATGGTTAAGAATGAATTGGAAAGGTTAGGAACCAGAAACTGTGGAAACATGGACATGTAAATAAAAGGGCACTTGGTGTTACTATTCACAAAATAAATTAGGAAATGGTTCTCCCTTTTGCTTTTCTGGCATGCCCGTACCCACTATGGGTTTCCTTCCAACTGAATGATTCTCTTTCCTGTAATCTTCATTACCTGATAGCAAGTGATATTTGTGTAGCAGCATCTGGGTTTTCGTTGACCTTCAGTCTTCAGGTCTTCTGAACAGATCTTCTAAACAGTTGCTTTAGAAAATAGATTGACTAGTTAATACAAAATTAGACCTAGTAATATTAAGTTGTGTAGAATGTTTACAGTCCCCCCCCCCAAAGAAAAATTAACCCAGATTGACCTAACTATGGTCAGACCTATAATTTATTTTTTAAATTTTACTGTACTTAAGTATTTTAAAAGTGAAAGTACAAAAAAGCCTTGTTCCTGATTCTTTACTAAAGCAGACACAGGATTTTTCTGGATATCTTCATATAGGGGAGATTTGGATAAAATGAGGAAATTTAAAATTAAGATTGCCTCTCTAACTCAGATTTTGCAGTAGTAAAATGTTCCGTTTGATACTGTAGTCTTGAATAACAGCCTTATAACAGGCTGCTGGCATTCTGCATGTCACTGTGGAACCTATTAAACTGTTTTAGGGAGAAGACATTTATGGTTGTGTTCAGTAGATACTTTGAGTTTTTTCAAAAAGTTCTTTACCTGTAAGTTTTACAGTGCTTAAAGGAATCTGACTATACTAGGAAGCATTTAATTGCTACTTTTAAATACTTTTGATATTCTTATATTACAATACTTACATTTTTTGAAGCTACCAGCAGCAGCTTCTGATATGTTGACCTGGTTGTTAGAATGTGAACCTCGGGTTCAGCAAACCCTTAATCTTTCTTCTCATCCCTCATTGTTTTCTATTTTCCCCAATGTTACAGGTTGCAAATATTTTCTGACATGGAAAGGGTGGTTTAGAACCTGAACAGTGGCCAAATTAGAGGCTGATTACAGTGTATCTCCACACCTTCACAGTTTCCAGGAGCCTAGTTTTTCATTTGCAGAGTGGTCATATTTGTATAATCTTTGTCCAATAGCATGACATGGGCTGTATTAATCTCCCTAAATTCTATTTTCAGAAATTGTCTGAGCTTTTAGTGTTTATTCCAAATCTGAGATGCCGTTTGGGGAGTCTGTCGCTCATAGTGCGACCAGCCTTCTGTCCTTTAGTCAGTACGTACAGACTAGAAGCATCAGGTCTTTATACAAGACTATGCTTCTGCTCTGTACTTTCCCCTGTGGCTTTAGAAAAGGTTTCTTATGACAACCGGGTGTGTTTTCTCCTCAGGTGGGAGTTAATTGAGAGGGACAATATTAATACTTCATTATTTGGGAGCTCTTTGAGCTACATCTTCTCTTTCCTACGGGGTGATGCAAGCTGTCCAGACCTACCAAAAGTCAGGAAATTTCAAGAGTGATCTCCAAAACTTAAAAGAGATTATGAATTTGTAAATTAAATCGTGATATTTAAAATGAAAGGATAACTATGTAAACCTTAAAAGTACACTATAAAGCCAAATAGCTAACAGCTTAAAACAGACTTGAGATAGTTGTCTACCAACCAGTATAGAGAGCGTTATTGCTAATCTTTAATCAAATTTTATATCCTCTTCAGAAAAATTCTTTTGGGACTTAAGTTTCAGAGAAAAAATAGGAAAAATATTTGGGCTAGGGATTCTACTGGGACTACTGATCTTTCAGTGCAAGGCAGCAATATAAAATATTAAGCTAGAGAAAGAGCTTGCTAAAATGGTATGAGCCTCAATGTACCTATAGTGTTTGAAGTATGCTGGGATGACTTTCTAGGATATTTCCTGAAGTTATCAAGACTTGTGTTGTTTCCTTTATATTTAGGTAGACTTTGCTTTCATTGCAGAGAATCTGATTGGTGAAGGTATTCAGCACAGGGTTTAGTTCAGCTCTATTTTACTATTTCTCTTTTTTGTTAAGAGAAAATTCTCACGTATTTCTATTTTTTCCTCACTGTTTTTCTCAATTAATTCATTAAAAAAGATTCATCTGCAAGTGCGATGTGTGTGTGTGTGAGACTCCTGTTTTGACAGCAGTGTAAAATGGCATCTCTTTTGAATTAGTAGTTTGAAGGAAGGTCCAGGGAGAAATAAAGCAGTGCTTTAGGACACGTAAGTCCTTCCAGAACTAGTGATTTATCTGAGACTTAATTCCTCCATCCAGACTTTCACTTAACAATGTTATGTTTAGATATCTTTAATAAGCACTGGCTAAGACTATCTAACTTTAATTCCTCTTTTAATGGCAAATTGCATGAGTCTATTTTACTAATTGTGAAGTTGTCTCTCTTTAAAAATACTATATTTATCACCATTTACAGAATGGGAGCTGCTGTAGAAAATTCTTTGAAGCTAAAACCTTTCTCATTTTTAATTAAACTTTTTTTTTTTCACTGAGGAAATAATTTAAGCATTTAATAGATTCTTATTAGCAAGATCTGACTGGAGCTTTCACATATGTGGCTTTCAGAAAAGCAGCTTGGGTTGCCTGAAAGCTGTTCCTTGTGATCGTTCATGGAAGGACTGACCTGGCATGGTGTTTCTTGCTAGATGAATGTTGAAGATGTTTAGGTCTTAATAGTGAGCAGAATTGTTAATTTGTTAGTGGAGACAGGGAGGCAAGCGCAAGGTTAATTTCCTCTCAAAACTTTTAAAAGGATGCCCAAGCTTAAAATATATTTGTATACATTTTTAAGTTTGCACTGGCAGGATTCAGTTTGTAATGTAATGGTGGAATGTTATATAGCATTTGGAGAAATACTAGTTCAAAATATTGATCTTCCTGTAGTGTTAGTTTCTCTTAAATATGGACTGCTTTTGCTGGCACCTTTGCTTTTGAAAGTTAGCCTCTGGAAAAAGGTTTATACTTTTGTTAGTTTAATTTGCTCTGCGCAACAGAACAACTTTGAGCATCCAGTAAATTGTTTAAATTGCCTTGCTCTTCTTACTGATTTGACTTACCAGATGCATTGTCAAGTATATCCGAAATCATAAGGCTCCTAATTCCTTAAGATTAAAACAGCTGTGTTTGAGGGATAAATATTTTGTTTAGCACCACTATTGAAAATTCCAGCTATTCGGTTTGACCTCTCTGTCTTAAAATGGAGTATAGGATTTACCTTTCTGTGATTTGACAGATGTGCAGTTAGTTGAAAAGATTTCTTTTTTTTTTTTTTTTTCTTTGGTGGGAGAGAGGGGAGGTATGGGGTATCTTCAGCATGGCATTTTTTCAAACATTTTTCATGTGCTTAGGTGCATCCAAGCAGAAGTCAAGTTCCCTGCAGGTAGCAGATAAGGACCTACTGCCACCTTTTCACCCATACCAGCCTTTGGAATGCATAGTAGAAGAGACTGAAGGCAAGCTGAATGAACTTGGACAGAGAATTAGTGCTATTGAAAAAGCACAACTTAAATCATTGGAATTAATTCAAGGTGAACCTTTAAATAAAGATAAGATTGAAGAACTTAAAAAGAACAGAGAAGAACAAGTACAGAAGAAGAAGAAAATATTGAAGGAGCTACAGAAGGTGGAAAGGCAGTTGCAGATGAAAACACAACAGCAGTTTACCAAAGAATATTTGGAGACCAAAGGTCAGACAGACACACCACTTCCCCTGCAACAGCAGTGCCCACTTACAGGGGTCTTCCCAGAAGTGGAAGCTGATAAGGGTCTGCCAGAGGATAACTTTTCAGGGTTACCTCAGGTTGACACAATCTTGTCTAAAGATGATGCGCTCCCTCCACCTGCTTAACAAATAGAGTTTGTCCCCATCCAGCCTTTGCCAACACCGCAATGTAATTTTTCTGGTAATTTAGGTTATAATGGGACAGAGTCTCTTGAACTTCAGAAAGCATTAGGTAATCAGCAGAATGTAGTACAGCAGCAGCAAATTGCTGGGCAGGGGCTGTTAGTTCAAGAACCAGACGGATTAATGGTTGCCACTCCAGCACAGACGCTTACCGACACTCTTGATGACCTAATAGCAGGTGGGTTAAGAAATATACCTATTTTTGCATTAATTTGTGTGCTCAGTTTCCCTTTCTCTCCTTCCCTCCAAAAGCATCTTGGGGTTTTCCAGTTTGGGAATACTTGATTAAGAATAAAATTCCTGATTAGTGCTATTAATCCTAACAGTCACTTCCAATTCTAACATGAGACTTTAAAAAAAACAAACAAAAAACCAAAAAACCCAAAAAACCTCTTTCCAAAGTGCAAAACTTCCTGTCCCAGAGACATGTTTTAGTCCCTTTTTTGTGCTTCTTTAAAAAGCCTAATCATGAGTGATTAGAAGTGGCCATTAGGAAACCTGAAAACGTTACTCTTTTTTTTTTTTTTTTTTCTTTCATAGGATTTTACATGCAGGCATATACCTTAGTGAATTTCCTTAGTATAGTAGCCATCTCTAGAAAAATACTAAGTATTGTCACTTGTATTGACAAATGTATCTCTCCATTCTGCTGGAAATGCTGCTACAGTTTAAACACATCTGAAATCTGTGCACAACCATTTAGTTCTTTAGTGCTTCTCTGTAATGGCTTGTGTTTTCAGAATACCTTCTAAACTATGGATGTTAAACAGGAATAACTACTTATTAGATTTAACATATGGCAAAAATATGTCATATCATATGTCATGTTGTCTGGATGAAAGCAAAAATCAAAGCATTCTTGCTTTTGGTGGTAACTTCATGAAGATAAATCAAGATCCCCCCACAGTGGGTTGGGTAAGCCCCGTTGTGAAAAAGAGGTACTGTTGTTGAGCTCCTTTTCATGTATTTAAGTAGGATTTCTCTTTACTGCTGGACGTATGCAGGATATAGCCACTATTGTTTAGGACTGTGCCTGTATGGCCTGTGGTTTTGTTTGTTGTTGTTATTGTTTTGTTTTTTTAATCCAGTGTTTCTTGACTCTTCTTTGCTCCTTCTGTCGGTTCCTCAGCCCTTTTCTTTTTTTCTTTTTTTAATCTCTCTGTGGTCACTGCCCTGTCCTCTTAACTTCCCCTTATGCCTTTGGAAATGTGGAATAAGACTTCTGGCTAACAATTCCCAGGAACTTTCAGAATGGTAACTCACTGTAGTGAAGTTCATAGAAGTCAAGACTGACTGCAACTTTGCAGCCTTCCCTGGAAATCTCAGTAGGTGGAATAGTTGTGGTGTGTTATGTCAGCTCCCTTTCAGTTGTACAATTTAACTCAAAGAAGCTTTAACTCGAAGAATCTGTACTTCAGAGTTAAAGTCTTAGTTCACTTTTCTCTGGCATGGTGTCATCCATCTGCCACTCTAAGATGTTCTTCAGATTATTCAGCTAACTTTACAACAAAAATGCAATTAGATTATTCTCAAATATTTTTAGTCAAGATTTGATACATGAGCATGCAAGGAGGAAAATTTGAGATATTAACGCAAAACTTGGTCAACAGGCTAAATCTTTGGAGTAGTTATTGTTATTAACAGTTTAATATATCTGGCACAAGACCATGTAGCATGTAGACTTGAATAGTTAGTAGCTGCATGTGATATTCATAATATCCATAATATTCAGTGCACCCTTCACTGTTATGCATTGTAATAGCCATTGCAAAAAGAAAAATTTCTGCAGTGAGCCAAGTGCAACAGAGTGAAATCGGTCTACTAATCTTGTTTCAGACATCTTACCAAAAATGTCTGACTTGTTAAAGGTCACGTACTTCATAGTGTAATCCTCTGACAAAATTCACGTTTCCTGATACCGTAAGAAAATGAAATAATCTGAAATATGTGCCATTTGGGGGGGGGGGGGGGGGGAAGAAAGCCTGCTGAGCCCCTTCCCCTTTATCTTATGATTTAAAAGCCATGTGAATAGAAATGTTTTAAATATAGGATCTTTAACTATAAATACCCTGCTTGTTATTGGTTAATTTTATGAAACTGTTTACTGTTTTTGTAACTAACTAAAGATAATTTTTGCTAAGAAATGAGGTTTACTCATTTCAAAATCCATAGAAATTGCATACTCTTGTAAAATTGTTAGAAACTGTGTGTTTGGAGAAATGCAACCCAAGGAGAATTTAGCTTTCCCAATTCCAGAGGCTATTGCAAACAGAAATTGGTATTACTTTACTGAAATATATTTTCATCTGAAATTCATACTTTTGCTTCACTTCCTAAAAAAATTATTGGAAGAGATTTAGATACTTTGCTGTTCCTTTTTTTTTTAAGAATCCAGATTGTGGTAAAAGAGTAACCCCTTTGTAAATCCTAATCCTAAATCTCAAATTTATGTGGGTTTCAAAATGAACTGTAAAGCTACCTCATCTTATGTTCACTCCAAACTCCTTGATCTGTGTTTAAAATGCACTTGCGTTTTATACGCAAGTTTACCCATTAGTCCTCAATTTTTGTAAAGAAATTTTAGCAATAGAAATTTATTCTGACAACTGATTTTTGCATGCATACTACAGACACTGGATAAAATTGTTCAGGGGCTCTGTGTCTGGTATGTGGAAAGTCTATCTCTTTGAGAGAGAACAGAAGTCTGCTCTAACTAGGGAATTTGCCTTTGATATACCCCGATTACGGTACTGCTGGGGAAGTTACATCACTGGTGGTGAGTGAGACTGTTAATTTAGAAGAGGCACGAACATTCTTATTCTTATTGTGTTTTTCAGTTTATATCAGGTCTGCTTTAGAAGAATAGAAATGTTAAATCAGCTTTTGCCTTCTGCATTGAAATGTTTTTTTTATTATTGCTCTTACCAGTGGCAGTGCAAAAGTGGCAAGCTTTTCAGAATTTCAGTTTAGACTAGTTGTAGGTGAGAACATTGTTAAATTTCTACAAAACCTCAAATTTTTAGTTTTCTGAATAATTTAATTGCAAACGCATATATATAAATACAGTAGTTATCTTGCTGGTCTGCTGGCATAATTTGTCAGCTAAAAGGGTAGCAATTAGGAGTCAAGGTGGTTAACGTGAAGACAGAGCAAGTTGGAAGCCTCACTGGCAGGCAGGGTCCCTGGTAGGGACCCCTGAGCCCCCTCTTTCGTAAAGCTGCTCAGCCTACATGTGAGTTGTGCAGAAGTAACTGAATAATGTTCAAAAAGTCAATTAAAACTCTAAACATGAAGCAGCTCCTTCATGCCAAAATGCTTGGTTATACTGGAATTTATTTAGATATGTTAAAACAAAAACCCAGCAACTAATTCCTAATCATTTATTTGAGTGTGTGGCTTATTATAGTCAAAATTTTAATTGGATTTATTAAAGAGATATAGTGTTGGTATGGCTTATTAGTGTAAATATAAGGGAAAATAACTTATTATTTTGGATCACATCTTTTGATAAGAGCAAATATTTTGGACCCAGTTTTCATTACTCAGTACAAATTTGGTTTCTTGAAGCATTTCATATTGCATACTTGAAAATTTTTCAGTTCCCATTGTGCATTTGCCTGCACAGATTTCTTTGAGTGTTTCTGAGTTGAACCATCCTTACTGTTTTTAAGATACTTAAGATGAGGATAGGATTTTTTTCTTTTCCTTTTTAAGTTTTGTCTGCATTTTGGAATTTTTTAATTCCTGTTTGTTCTGCCCTAGCTGGTGTTTTCAGTGTAGGAGGTGTCATTTCTGTATGCCTTTATCTGACTCCTCCTTGGAGTTCTGGTTTATAGACTGAAAATCTAGATGTGTTTTAAGCAACTTTACTAAATTTAATTTGGTTCTGAAGTTCTGATTAGTTTGGTTGTAGAGAACAGTAATATTTTAAGGTAATGATTTTAAAGATGACATCTGGGTTACTATCTTTGGGATTGTTTTTTCGAGTAACACTGGTCACTAGGATAATCGGGAGTGAGAAATGGCAATTCATAAAATGACACCTAGTTACTGATGTACAAAGGCCTATGTACAATAACATAGTGGTTAAAAATTGCGTGGTCCCAGCCTCTCTATCAAAAAGTGAAGACTGAAAAGATTAAAAGCAGAATGATTACACAAAAAGGATTAAATTATTTTTTTTGTCCTGAAAATATCCAGCTCCTTTAAGGAAAACAGAACTGAAATATAAGTCAATAGTCATAAATATACATGTTCACAGCATAGCAATTGTTATGGAAATCTAGTTTCAGACTGCACCTGCAATATTATCCACAAGCAGTTTCTCAAGTTTCTGTCAGTACCTCCAGAGTTACACGTAGATAAAGCTGCTAGGTTCTTGCACCCATTTATTTCTGCTCATATCTCCTGTGATATTTTCTCATAAGTTTGAGAAATAGTCATCCATGTCTTTGGAAATTTGTCTTAAGCTTTACCCAGATGTAAAGAAATTCTCTGAAAAATTGCGAGCTTTTCGTAATGTTGGAAAACTAGATTTTGTGGTTATGTTATTTAAAATTTAGACTTAGCGTCTTTTTTTTTTAAGTGTAAGAGTCTTCTGAATATTTAAGTCTGCAGAAGCATCCTAAACCTATGTCACAAAATAAGTATATTATAAAGATTTGTGGTGCACATTGCAAAAATTGAATAGATTTCTAATCAGTGCCTGGCTATGAGTTTGTTTATTGGTATCTTTTCTGTTGAAAATACAAAATGTCTATTCAATAGGAAGTAACTCTATTTTGAAAACAAATAAGCAAATTTGATTTTTTTTTTGTTACTGTAGAACTTATTTATCTGACTGCCTAGTGCTGTATGATTTTTGTCTGTTTTAGATGGAATTTGTGTCAATCTGACTGAATCCTGCAAATTTCTTCAAAAGTCCCTTGAACATCTGCTGAATTTCAACATTTCAAAGCAATTATCTGGCCCTTATGATAGCATGAGTGCTTCAGAACTGCACCATTGCCCTTAAAATAATTATGAAAAAATTAAATCTCAGTTTTTATGTGGTGGTGGAAATCAGCTAGCATACCTGAGAAAAATCTTTTGCCCTTTGTGTGGGTTATGTTCACCTTGATTTCCTCTCCATTCTGTCTTGGAGAGATGCGTGATGGTAATACTGTTACATAGATAAAGAATTTTATAATCCTCCAAACTGAACTTGTAAGGTTTAAAACAAATAAACAAATAAACAGAAAATTAGTGGGCATAATCTGGAACAGGAGGAGTAGTCCCATTTCTGGACTGCCATTAGAAAAGGTCATTTGCTAAGAACACTTCCCTCTGTCATCTTAGAGATAAAATTTTTCTGGTCCCTTAAAATCCTGCAGTGTAACATGCAGAGATGATGAATGCGATCTTCCCACGGAGTGTTTGTTTTGTAGCCTCCAAATTAGTCCTTTCTTTTGAAATGAGGTGATTTGTCACAGCGCTAATGTCTAAGACTAAGCCTTTCCATTTACCTTTTGAGCCACTGTACTGCATGATTGCAGTTGGTTTTCTATTGATGCCAGTTATCGAGACAAAAGTAATTGCTGTGATCTGGAATGGATATGATGTTGCAACTGGGGAAGACTGCACTTCAGCTTTTACTGTTGTAAATATCCTTTGCTAAAAATCAGTCATTTGAAAGATGACCTCACGTTTCCTGTAGTGTATGCCAAGCTGCTGAAATCATTCCTAGAGACTTCTGACAAGGGCTCTGTATTGGCTAAGTGCTCCTTGTAGTGGGGAAAAGAAGTGGAGAGGTGGTTCTCTCTTTTTTTCTGAAAGAGCATATTCAGTCGGTAGAATGACATCATCTTCCAAAATGGGTTTTGTAAGATCGGTGACTGACCTGCATTTCAGTGGCAGTGTCTTGTAACCCAGAACCGGACACTGGTAAACGTGTTCATCAAGGTTCAGCTAACTCTGATTTCATATACATGTTTGTGAAGATGTTTTGGAAGCTTTGTTTCATGATGATCATGAGTTTAAAAAAAAAAAAGTCATGTCTATATATTGTTGTGTAACTTTGCTTTTTCTCTGAACTAAATGGGTTTTATGAAACTTTCAGACATATAGTGTACAAATTATAATGATATTTGCACTGGGCCAACTTTCAAGCTTGACTACCATTGTAAGGAAGTAAAAATGACGCTTAAGTCTGCAATATTGTAGACGTAGACTAGTTAAGAGCAGAAGATTAATCACTGGGTATTGCAGGACTACTAGTTCTTAGATTTTATTTTAAACTAGAGTTTGGAGTACCATTAATGTACAGAGTTTAACTGTTTTTCTGCTCCCTTTGGTGGTCTCTCTCACCTTTGATGTGATTGTTACTGTCCAAGTAAAGTGCTTTAACACACGCGTTCATGCATTTCAAGCACATGATGAAAATCTAAAGTATGCAAGAAATGTGCTGTGACATATTCAGTCATGGTTGTAAAATGTAGAGGATGTAGAGAATTTGTTGAATCTATAGTGATGATATTGAATGTATTCCATTAAGAAATCTTAAAATATCTGAAGTAGAGCTTGTCTTTGTTCATTTTCTCCTGCTTTATGTGTATATAGTATGCACATATGTTTGTATAAGTAAAATAATAGAGAGTTGTAAAATGTGAAAACATCGAGCCAGTATCTTTCTTGAGGAAGGATTAGTTTGATTTAAAGTAAAATCAGTCGTTAACAGGGTGATTTAGTGTCTTGTATTTTGGAAGGAATAATCTTTAGAAATCCACTTACTACTTTGCACTTCAGTGATTCGAGCAAAAAAATAAGTGCATTATATTAATTAATCCTCATCTCTTGCTGAGACATGTGAGTGGCAATACATAGCAAGCAGATGAAATGTGGGAGCTTTTACATTTGAAACTTCATGAACAGGCCAGGCTTGCATTAGAAGTTCATGATATATAGCAAAAGTCAACTCTGTATCCAGATATAATATATTCTTACTTTAATGTGATATCCAGATTTTAATGCATGCTTTTGACTCTGCCCCCAGAAAAATGCTGTACATTAAAATGGCTTTTACAAAATACAACTGAAAAGTACCACTTCTGAAATTTCAGTGCCCACCTCCCCAAGATTTTGTAGACCTGTCTGACCCATCTAGAACTTGCTCCAGCCTGTTCTCCCTTTATCACACATATGCAGTAATACATGCATAGGCTTAATTAGTGGTGTTACCTCATGTTGAGGATTTTTCTAAGAGTTTTCCATATATACTATTTTCCTCTGAGTAATTGCTGATGTGTAACTTGTTAGTGATATCACTGAAGTTGAGCTGCTTAATCATAGTTCTTGGGAAAACTTTGCAAAAATTTATCTTTAGATTCAAGTCTGCATATCGCTTGTCCTTCATCTTCTCTCACCACTTGAAACATTTGAACAAAAGCAAAATATTGCCACTGCTTATTTCTTACCTACAGTTGTTAACGTTTTCCATCAGTTGCTTATTTCAGAGCCTTTTGGCTCTGAAAGTTACTTTTCAAATATGGCTCTTATGTTAGCGTGACTCATCATGAAGTGCATAAGGGGACTTAGTGCCTAGTTTCATTAGTGAAAGGTCACAAAGAGCCTTCCTGACAGGTAATTGGAATTGAGGGCCTTTGATTTTTGTGGGTTCCCTTCAAATTCTTTAACTGTGTTACAAAGGCAGGCTGAGGTCTCAGCCCTGCGATATATATGCACAGAAGTGTTTCTCTGCTCGTTCTCTTTAGGTTTCTCAGTCTTTACATTTAAAACGAGTTGAATAAAATCTAATTCTCAATTATTGAGTTCTGCTTGAATTGTTTAAAATAAATAAGTAAAATAAAGACTCACTACCGAGCTACTTGTGTAGCTGAGCTGAGGTGCATCTTCATGACAGAATTTTGCAGCTCTTTTTTGAAAGGCTATGTTTGATCAGAATAAATTTTAAGGAGCACAAACAGTTCCTCAACTTGCTTATTTTTGTTGACTGCCACCTCCTTCCTGTTTCTCTTCCACCCTTCTTGGGTTGTTTAAACTCTAAGACACAGTTGAGGAATATGTGGCTGTTACTCTTCTTCCTTTGAAAACTTTATATGGAAATGTAGTATGCACTAACCTTTACATGAAATACTTTTGAGTTCCTGAATGGTATTTTATTTCTGAATGTTAGGACTGCATTTTAGTGATAAATTAGCTGCTTGCTTAGAATGAGCATATAACTGAAATCTAACAGTGGAGCTGTTTACAATTTTAGAAGGATAACTAATAATATTTCTAAATCATAATCTTCATAATATTTACAGACTAATAAAATTATTTTCCTAACTTAACACAGTTTGGTGATGCTTTCATTACTTAACTTCAGGAAAGATTCTTTGTGCGAGATATTAACTCATTTGTTTTTTTAGGAATGCTTAATTTGTTGTCCCTCCTGCACACACATTATAGGAATAAATCTTTCTTAAATAAATTTAGAATTCCTAAGAGTGAATTAATAATCTGATGTTACTTTTCAGCTGTGAATAGCAGAGTGCCCAGTGGCTCCACCAGTTCCTCGCACACTACGGAATCCCCTACGCCTGAGCCTTGTTCCCAGGCATCAAGCAGTGTGGCATCGCAGTCGGTGGTCCCCATGTATCCTTCAGTTGATATTGATGCACATGTGAGTAATTTCACTTTAGCTTTGAATTGATTTACTTTCTGATTGATTCTGAAAGTGTAATAATTAATCTAGTGCTACGTTAAAAATCAAATTCACTTAAAATATTTTTAATTTCTGAATATCTGCCTCTCTCTCTTCCCGACCATGAAGACTGAAAGTAATCACGACACTGCTCTGACCCTTGCATGTGCAGGAGGCCATGAAGAACTTGTGTCTGTACTGATAGCACGTGGTGCCAATATTGAACACAGAGACAAGAAGGGTAAGCTAAAATAGTAAAACAGTTTGACCTTGAAGTACAATATGGAACAGGCAGTTTCAAAGAGGGTTTTTAGGATTCTTTGCTTCAGAAAATGACCCAGGCTTGCAAAAGCATAAAATTTTTCCACTTCACGTAGAAATGTTGATCATAAAAAGCAAGTGACACTGCATGGCTTTCCAGCTTCTTTTTTAAAAGGAAATGTATGTATCTGAGCAGTCTTAATCTTAATAAGATTTGTTGAAATATGGACCACTTCCTCCTTATGATTCACCCTACACAAAAGATTTTGGCATTCTAAATGGAGTGGCTAATTGGTGTAAATCTCAAATCTTGACTGACAAAGATAACTTAGAGTAGTTCTCAGGTTGCATATCATGTCTTTCACAGCAGTTAAATTTAAGTAGTTAAAAGTAGCAAAATCTCAAATCTGTTAAGAGTTGTGAGAGACCAAAGCAATCTTGTTTTTTTTCTCTAGAGCTGACATTTGACCATTGGGAACTGCACAGTGCAGATGGGTTCGTTTGGTTAAGCGCTAGAGCTTTATTAAATAGGAATTGATTGGAAAGCTGTGATTTGTCTAAAGAGATAAGTTGTCAGAAGCTAGTCCATGCCTGTTACTGAAAACCCTGTTCTGTAGCTGAAGTGCTAGATTTTTCTTGAAGTTCTTTAATTTTATGGGGCAGAAGTCAAGGCTAGATGTACCAGGCTCACACGAGGGCTAGGAGAGGGAAACCTCAGAGGTTTCCTGCAATTCTGGCCTACAGGAGGAAAGAAACATTGTGCGGAAGACATATCTAATCAACATTATTCGTTGTAAATTAACTCTTTTGTGCATTTTTGCCACTGAATAGTTCTGAGTTTCTCCAGCTTGCTTTTAATATGATCTTCTCTTATGTTAGGTTTTACGCCTTTGATTCTGGCTGCAACTGCTGGACATGTTGGTGTAGTGGAAATTCTTCTAGACAAGGGTGGGGATATAGAAGCACAGTCTGAGCGCACAAAGGATACTCCGCTTTCGTTGGCCTGCTCCGGTGGACGCCAAGAGGTACAGACATCTTAACATACTCGCATGCATTTGAATTGGTTTTTGTAAGCTACAGTATTTTTTTGATGGTAGGCTAAATCATCCTTTTCCAATAAGGCTTTTAAAACTGCATAAATTTAGCTAGTTTAAGCCTTTTTCTTCTCTCAAGAAAAAAGGCTACATCTGTGTGTGTGTGCATGTATATATATATATAATACGTATATATACGTATGCACTATATATAATACATATGAAAATATATTTACACACATATATACACATTTTTATACACATACATACCGAAGTGTGTGTATATATAAAATACACACGCGCGTGCGCGCGCGCGCACACACACACACACACACACACACACACGTGTATACATACATACATACATATATGTATGTATGTATATGGAAAATGTGTGTGTGTACATGTGTATTTTCCTCCTTGGTAATCTCAGTTTTGTTAGTAAATGTTATAACTTGTGGTCATTATCCTGTCTCTGTTTTCTAACAAGGTAAGTAGTTGTATGAGGGAAGAAGAGAGATTAATGAATAACGCTGTTCATTGGACACTTCCATTATGCATCTTCCCTACTTTCAAAAATAACACAGCCAGTGCAGGCACAGGACAGAGATTAGAATTTTGTGTTTGCAGTACAGTAGTAATATGCAGGACTGACAGATGCAGATCCACTGTGAACATGCCCTATATTATAAAGGCACAGTATATTATTCTTCCAAGGATATTTCAGTTTTCTGTCAGGGTAGTTTTTTGGTTTTGTTTTGTTTTGATCCAAAGAGCATTTGTTAAATCCTTCCTACTTAAGTGGTGGACAGACTAGCTTAGTAGACACCATGGCAACGGCAAAGGGTTTTGTGCCAAATAAGAGAGTAATGATTTGTGGAATTTTTAAGGATTCAAATAGTTAGGTAAAATTGGAAGATTTCTGCTTTGACTTTTGAATTGCAATTCATTAATAGTATAAGTGCTGCTCACAAATAAAAGGAGACTTAGGCAGCCCATGATAATATTACCTATTAAATTACTTTTTAAATTACTATGAAGAAGGAGGAGCTCCTGGCAAAATTCAAGCAGAAGAAGGAAGCATGGAGAAGGTGGAAGCAGGGATAGGTAACCTGGGAGGAATATGGGGATGTTGCCCAAGTATGCAGGGATGGAGCTAGGAAAGCCAAGGCCCACCCATCTCGCGAGGAATGTCAAGGACAACAAGAAGGCCTTCTGTAAGTACATCTGTAACAAAAGGAAGAGTAGGGGAAATGTGGGCCCGCTGCTGAATGGGGCAGGGGCCCTGGTGACAAAGGATACAGAAAAGGCGGGGATACTGAATGCTGCCTTCACCCCCTCAGTCTTTACTGGAAAGACCAGCCCTCAGGAATTCCAGGCCCTGGAGACTAGGGAGAAAGTCTGGAGAAAGGAAGACTCTCCCTTGGTCGAGGAGGATCAGGTTAGGGATTACTTAAGCAGGCCGGACATACACAAGTCCATGGGCTCTGATGGGATACGCACACACACAAGTGCTGAGGGAGCTGGCCAATGTCACTGCAAGGCCTCTCTCAGTCACCTCTGAAGCAAGACAGGCAAGAGAGAGGAGCCAGGGAACTACAGGCCTGTCAGCCTCACCTCCGTGCCTGGAAAGGTGGTGGAGAAGCTAATCTTGGATACCGTTTCCAAGCACGTGAAGGACAAGAAGGTGATTGGGAGCAGCGAGCATGGATTGACAAAGGGGAAATCCTGCTAACCCAACGTGATAGCCTTCTGTGGTGGGATGACTGGCTGGTCGATGAGGGGAGAGCAGTGGATGTTGTCTCCCTGGACGTCAGCAAGGCTTTGGACACTGTCTCCCATCACATCCTCTTAGGTAAACTCAGGAAGTGTGGGTTGGATGAGTGGATGGTGAGGTGGATTGAGAACTTGGCTGGATGGCCGAGCTCAGA